GTTCCTGCCTTCGTTGTAAACAACAAAAAGTTAATCTAAATGGTCTTGTGGAACCTAGCAGAGTAACTAGGCAAAACTAGCTTGCTAGATCAAAGTGTAAGGTAAAGACGCTTTCCAAGTTCTTTGAGAGACAAACGTATCTCTCCAACCAACAACCAGATCGGTACACCTCTGTGGACGAGAGCTTCCCTAGAAAAGAATATGTATATTATTTTGTTAATTGCATTTTTTGTGTTAAATGTGTATCTACATCTGAGCAAATAGTCATACTCATCAATCATATCCATACACTTGCATTTAACATGCATGCAGAAATATGCATTTGATACATATAGAGGTCAAATCTTAAGAATGATCTATACCCAACACGTTACTTTACAGAAGAACCCCCCCCCCCCCCCCCCAATAAAATGCTTTGCTGGAAAGGGAGATAAAAAAGAAAAAAGCGAAAAACGGGAAGAGTAGTATTAGTAGTATTAGTTAGTATTGAAAAATGGAATCATGAAACGTCGGGGCAAAATGCATGTACAACAAAGACATGAGTTGGATTGCCATGTCGGGAAATCTCGTATAATTTCATTGAATACATGACGCATATCCGTTTGTCTGCTGAGGTTCTGCGTCCCACTGTGTTCTGGTTAGCGTTGACAGGCCTTGTGGAACCAGCCCGGCTCTTAAATGATCTAAACTGTACCGATGATGACGTAACGTCATAGTCACAACTAAAATAAAGTTCCTTTGATGTGTAAAAAGTAATGGAAAGTGAGGGACGTTAGGTGCACAAAACGCTTATTTCAGAACGAAAATTATACTGCATAGTAACAAAAATAATTCGTCGCAATGTTCTAAAGAAACTGAAACAAAGTGATAAGATGAGGATTTTGATTAGCAAAACAGTTACGACAAAGATTACAAGACATACAATGATAAGTAAGATTTTTATCAGTTCTTTAGGTTAGAAAAATGTTAAGAAAAGGGTTAAAACGTACTGTACACACTCATATTATACAGATTATTAATAAGAAATCCACGTGAATACAAAGTTAATTACCGGCAAGAAATGGAATGGGGCGGGTTTCTGACCCAGTGAACAGGTGATTGTTATTGACTGGTTCAGTAAGAGACCAAGACAAAAGCACAAGTGCAATGTAACATAATTTTGAAACACTTTCAGGTTAAATGTTAAGAACATTGAACCAGTAAACCAAACCAGGGTTTGCTCCTCCCCGAAGCTGTAAGGGAAGATGTTTGTATTGGAGGAAGTACTCCACGTGCCCCATTTCATGGTGGACCGTCTCCAAATCACTTTGGGTAATGTCAGTACACTGTTGAACCCTGATCGGGAATACACCAAGATCAAACTTTAAAAAAAATGGAAACTTTACCGGTGCAGAACGACAAAAGCGTTTGACGTCACCGTGAACACAGCAACTTGAGAGAAAAAAATCATCCGTGTTTTAATTTGTCGATTTGAGTACAGAGTTGAGCTCATTAAGTTAAACAAATTCTTGACGAAATTAAAGCTAGCAGAATTTCAAGCTATTGAATCGAAGATCTCTCACCTAAAATCTTTTCTGTTGTAGAAATCCCAGGCCGAAGCATGGCAAACAACCTCCCTGCCGTCTGTGGGCTTTTCTAACATGGAACCATTCCAAAACTCTGGGGGCATTCTGATCATGCCTAGAGAGCCGAAAAAATCGTCAGCGAGTTGAAATATTCTGAGCGGTGTGTAGCCCTGAGAATGAAAGAAAGACTTTAAACGTACTGTCTCGTATATCCAATTTAAAAGAGCGTTTCACATTTTATATAGTAAAAATAAATATCCAATAAAGAGAGCGTTACTTCAGGGAAAAAGGTAATATTTGCAAGGTGTAATCGTTTTACAGCAAGAAACACAATATTATTGCAACTGATGATATAGATTAGGCTAATTATTTGATCACTTGATTCCTGAACTGGAGTTTTCCGAGACGGATTCTATCGATAACTCCTCGCCTCTCCTCAGCAGGATCCATGTAAAGGTATTCATACTGATAATCTCCTTTTGAATAATACAATATAGTTCAGGCATTAAAAAAATCATTTTGCTTTCAACCAAGGAACTAGAGTATTTTAAAATTATTTAGGAGACACACATGTCTGAGGTATTAACAAAGACCCTATAATTATACTGAATCACTAAATTCTCCTTACAACTTTGACGGGTTCTCTAAAATGGGAAGTGGATAAGTTTTTAAAAACAAGTGCCGGCTTCTAAAAGAGGCTATCTTTTATGCCTAGTGTGGTCTATTTTGCTGTTTATTGGGCAATCTGGTGAGTTGGTCAATAACAGGAAGTTAGGCCTAGCCTATTGTACTGTTTGACGCAAATGTGTAAAGCAGAGAGAGTGAGTGAGTAAATGTGAGACGAGTCCAGTCTGAATCACAGCATGAGGGTAGAGGGAAGAGCTGTATCGAGGCAGAGGAGGTCTGCAGAGATTTTGGCGTGAGGAAAGGGGGAATGGCTGTTTAGAGCCTCAGTCTAACTTCTGTGCTTGTGTTGTGAGATTCCAACGCATCGGGGCCCCACCGCAGAGGAAACCATGTGCCAAGGCACGTTTTAGGCTTGAGCAGAGAGCGAACAGCACAGTGTCGCGATATATGAGGCGTCCCAACCGAGTTATCCCCAGCGAATGAGAAGAGTACCCTCTTGGCAGGGGGATTATGTTGTTGGGTAGCAGTGGGTGGAAATTGTTGATTTGGTATGTATATAGTGTTTAATGTTTCAATTCTCTCGTTGCAGTTCTTAAGTGTGTTTTGGTGGCAGTCCTTTTGTTTAGTTGCTAGTTTATGAAGTATTTAGCATTTATAAATGTTTGAGTTCTTCATGGCAGTTTCTTAAGTTGGGTTTTAGTGCCTCTTAATTTGTTCACTTTCTTTAGGGTATAAAAAAAGTTGTCAGATATTGAGATTTAATGATCTTCAGATCAGGGTGGCGTGTGGTCTATTTGGCTGTTTATTGGGCAATCTGGCGTGTTGGTCACTGTGTGTAAAGCAGAGAGAGAGAGAGAGAGAGAGAGAGAGAGAGAGAGAGAGAGAGAGAGAGACAGAGACAGAGACAGAGACAGAGAGAGAGAGAGAGAGAGACAGAGGGAGGGAGACAGAGAGAGACAGAGAGAGACAGAGAGAGACAGAGAGTGAGTGAGTGAGTGAGTAAGTGTGAGACGAGTTCAGTCTGGATTACAGCAGGGCAGAGAGAAGAGCTGTATTGAGGAAGAGGAGGCGTGGAGAGATTTTGGCGTGAGGAAAGGGGGAATGGCTGTTTAGAGCCTCAGTCTATTTCTGTGCTTGTGTTGTGAGATTCCAACGCATCGGGGCCCCACCGCAGAGGAAAGGATCACACGATCTAGAGAGATACATGTTTGGCTAACCCTTATAACTGTATGCGCATCTCCGCGGGTAACCAAAAGGTTAGTGTTGAATATTCTTTCATTTACAAGTAACAGCACCTAGTAGTTTTCTTCCTCGAAACGAAAGTCAAATATTCATTTTGAAAGGCGTTTAGGTCTCTCTCTCTCTATCTCTCTCTCTCTCTCTCTCTCTCTCTCTCTCTCTCTCTCTCTCTCTCTCACACACACACAAAGACATAGCCTACGTTATACATAATTACCTGATTAACCATCTCTTTTGTGACGTCCATAGAAGGTTTTCCTTTAAAGGGCATAAAATCGTCAACGAGATTCAGCCATTCCTGAGCCCACATGTTGCCTATGGACATAATATAAAAGACGAGAAAATGAAAAAAGAGTCATATTATAACTTTGTCATTTTTCTTAGTTCAAGGGGTTTAAATATTTTAGATAATAATTATACTTCTGGCTTTAGTTTCGATTTACGCGAGTCAGCCTTTTCACTCGCAGTTCGAGCACATTTTTTACGCATCCCCATAATGATTATCGTCAAACTCATAAGACTAATACCGAAGTCATTTATGGCCATTTTGAGAAAATGAGGAGAAAAACAAACAAACAACCGTTTCTTCCGAACATTTGACTCTGTGAAACGCTTGAATTTTGATATCCTCAACTGATTTTGTATTTGGATTATTCTTTTGTCCAGGTGAATTATTATTACCAAGCTGGCTCTACTCTTCATTTCAGAGCCAAAAACTCAAAACCATCCAAGAATGACTTAGGCTAGCTATTATTTTTGGAGCGTGACGCTATGCTATTATGACCCTCTCCAGTGATGACGTGATTCTCTTTAACACCTTAAAATAATGTGGCTGTTGCGCAGTTGGTTGAAACAAGTAAGCAGGCAACAATTGAAGAAAAAACAACAAAACAAAGTTCGATTACAAGTGGGTGTAATTTCTTTGTTCCTTTTCTTTTAATTGTCTCATTTGTACGGCATGAAAGAGACAGATTTGACAATCGATTTGTCAATGAAACGACCTAAAACAATGTCTAGAATAGAGGGATACAAAACAACCCAAAGCAAAACGGAAGGGTAAATTGACAACTGAAGTGCAGCTGACTTGCAATCGTTATATACTAATGATCTCTCTCTCTCTCTCTCTCTCTCTCTCT